TGCGACTCGGGGGAAACCCAGGGCACCCTGAACGCAGCAGCTTCTTCAACGGCCGCGAGAAGCCACAGCGCAGCGCGAGGAGCGAAGAACCCCAGGGTACCCTGATGAAAAGCATATGATTTCTTGATGTGCGCCCCCACTGTAAATTAAGATACCTAACAATCCAGTGGGCAGCAAAAACAACACGCTCGTGTTATGTTGCTCCCGTCGCACTTCAGGACCACATCCCAGAAATAATTTCGAATACCCGGTAACTGGTTAACAGTATTAACAGTATTTCTAGTTCGCGCGCGCGGGGCGGCCCCTGGGGGTCCCCCGGCGAAAAGTACCCCGACCAACGCCCGGTCGCCGCCCGGTCGCCGCCCGACCGCCGCCCGACCGCCGCCCGACCGCCGCCCGACCAAGTCTACTCAGAGATGGTTTTCCTTCTGGGTGCGGCCTCTCAGGCTCCCCAGAGCGCGCTCAGAGTGCCCCAAGAGGCCCCCAAGACTGCCCAAGAGGCCCCCGAGACGCCCAAAGAGCGCTCGAAGACGCCGAAGATGACCCCAAGACGGCCCAAAAGGCCCCCAAGACAGCCCAAGAGGCCTCCAAGACGCCCCAAGAGCCTTCCAAGAGGCCTCCGAAGAGAGCCCCAAGAGGCCAAAATCGTTGATTTTCATTTGTTTTTTCTATGTTTTTTGTGTTCTGGCTTTTTCGGCTTCCGGACGCTCCAAGACGGCCCAAGAGGCCCCCAAGACCGCTCCAAGACGGCCCACGAAGCTCCCAAGACGGCGCCGAAACGACCCAAGAGAGCCCTCAAGACGGCCCAAGTGCCGCCCAAGACGGACCAAGAGGCCCCAAGACGGGCCCAAGAGGGACTCAGGAGGGATACCGAGAACTCAAAAATGGAGCCCTCCGTCCCAGAAGGCGCCCAGGAGGTCCCAAAGAGGCCCCAAGAGGCCTCCAAGAGGCCCCAAGATGTCGCCAAGAGGCCCCAGGAGACTCCCAGGAGGCCCAAAAGAAGCCCCAGAAGGCTTCAAACATGTCTCCCAGGCGCCCCCGAACGGCCTCTCAACAGACCCCAAGAGGCCCCCCAAAGAAGCATCTTGACGACGACTCTATTTCGCCCCATCGAGAGACGACCCCCAGGGAACTGCTTCACCATCAAAACTCCCCACGCAACGCGTCCGAACGACACCCGCCCCCAAGAGCGCAACATGGGCAACGAACACACAGACAAAAACCAGCGATGCCATATCACGGGCCGGCGGAATGAGCGAAGCGATTCAATAATTTCGAACACCCGGAAAAGTGTCGAAGCAGTGTCGAAACAGTGTCGGACGAGCGTCTCCCAGGGCCCGACACGTGAAAACCTTCAAGTTTCGGTACTCTCTTGGTGCTCGAAATTCTTTCTCGTGGTCAAGGCTAAAGCAGGCTGGAACATCATAACGCTCGTCACGCGGCGCAGCTGGCGCAACAAGCGCGCCTGGGCCCCCTCAAGGCAGCCGAGCGCACCCGGTGCGCGTGACGCACCGCGCGAGCGGCGCCCACCCCCGGCGTCTGTGTAGGTTCCTAAAATGGTTGCCCGTCCGATGGTGACTTCTGCCTGTGCTGAGCCTCGGGTGCTTCTTGTATGTGAGCGTTTTTTATTCGGCGTTTCGACACTGGGCGGAAAGGGGGGGGAGGGGGTCCGGCTCCAGAACTCTGCTTAGTGCGACTGCTTGCAAGAGTGCTGCCTCTGGGGGAGACTCCACCTGCTCGAAACATGCGCCAAGAGCAGCCAAGATCCACTCCAGGAGGGGGGAAGGGGGGGTGCGAGGGCCCGCGCCGATCGGCAAAACAACGAATAACAAAAACGATCACACGGGAGCGAGCGGGGCAGATTGTGGCCTTCGCGTTGGGATCTCGCCCCCATCCATTCCATTCCGTCTGTGCGGGGGGGGACGGGCCCAACACACCTGGGCGTCCAAGAGGGCTCCCAGAGGGCCCCAGATAGCCTAAGATGGCCTCCCGAATCGCACAAGACAGCCCAAGCTGCTCCAAGGTAGCTTCCTGCATGCCTCCAGATGCCCGAGGGGCTGCCACGAGGCGACGCCAACAAGTGTCCGCGGAGCCAGCCTCCCGACGAGACCCTCGAGATGCCTGGACCCTTCAAAGCCACATTACACTAAAAAACAACCGCAATCAGTGGATGGTTTTCGCTAAGGAGATCGACCGGGAACCCTGGAGCCCGGGAACCCATGCACCGAAATCGGCCGGGAACCAATAGCCGGGAACCCGGGAAGCCGGAACCGGGAACCCGAGAATCCAGCCTGCTACCAACGTCGGCGGGAAACTTTCGCCAAAGCTTTTTCAACTTCCGCTAGGACCCCTTCAGTGCAAGCACTGATTGGGGAACATTGTTTTGTCCACGTGTGTTTCTTCGTCGCCGCTTCGCTTCCGACGGGCTCCTGCTGCCCGCAGACGAGACGAGCCGGCTCCAGTGGCTCCAGGATCGCCTAGTAAGGGAGCTCCAGGAGGAGGCCAGGGAGTGGTCCAAGAGACGGCCCCAAGGAGAGCCCCGACAGCTCCACGAGGGCCCCAAGATGCGAGGGTTCGGGCTCCAAGTGGAGGGGTGGGTTCCAATCTAGGACCACCTCGGGTTTGATCGAGGTCTTCCAATATTCCAAGATGGCCACAAGCGGCCCAAAAGGCTTCCAAAAGGACCCCAAAAGAGCCCCAACGGCATCCGAAATGGCCATAATTGAGGGGCCCCCGACATTTCCCCAACTCTGCTCTCCAGAGGCTCCCATCTCACCTCATATCCAAAGATCCGCGAAGGCACTCGTGGTTGACAGCTGGGCCTGCTCTGCTTGAAAAATAGCTTCGCCTTGACGACTGCCGGGCTGCCCCCTCTCTGTTCCACTGCTTGGTCCTCCCCCTGATCAGGACAAATCGCCTGAGCATCGTGGGGATACGGGAAGCGTCGTAGACAGTGGAAGCAGTGCTCAGGAGCAGAGGCCATGTGCCAGGGAGGGGGGGACACAGGGAGTCGAGAGACAGAGGCGAGGGATGGGTGCGACAGAGGGATGAGGGGACAGAGGGGTGGGGGAACCGAAGGGGGGACAGGGACCAGGGAGGGGGGCAGCGACATCGGGAACACGGAGGGAGGTTGAGGCTGCACGATGTCCGGGCGCAGAGGTGGAGAGAGCAGGCGCGGGGAGACTCTGCGGCGCGCGCGCTCACGCAGAACCGCGCGCGCGCGCACCAGGCCTGCGCCAGTGGTGAGGTGCGCCGGAGCTCCCAGCGCCAGCCACCAGACGCAGCCCTCTGCCAGCCCGTTAAAACGACGCGAAGATCGGGACAAAATCGGATCGGGATAATTCGAAATCTCTGAGAATCGGCGGGTTTGGAGGATATATTGGGCGCCGCGGCCGCTCCAGAGCGTTCCGGAACGCTCTGAGAGCGCTCCGGAACGCTCTCGAGCGATTTATCCCGATCCTAGCCCTGTTTTACCCGTGGCCCCGTGAACGCCTCCCGCGCGAACAGGAGGAAGCTCAAGCATGCGCGGCGTCTCGGCTGGCTGGCCGGCTTCCGCCCAGCGCCTCCGGCGCACGGGGTGGAAGGAGCCCCAGAGGCCGCCGCCTGGAGGCCGAAGGCCCGCCCGATGGCCTGCGCAACCGCGGAACCACGAAGAGAAGCGGCCGCCACGCACGCCTGCACGCAAGGCCGTGCATCCAGTAGGACCCGTGGGCACAAACGTGTGAAGAGAAGGCAGGGGCACCCGTGGGAAAGTGCAGGGCCACAGCTGCGCTGCCGGGAGGATGAGGAGGGCGAGGAGGAGGAGGTGGAGGAGGAGGTGGAGGAGGTGGAGGAGGAGGAGGAGGAAGGTGGAGGAGGAGGAGGAGGTGGAGGAGGAGGAGGAGGAGGAGGAGGAGGAGGAGGAGGAGGAGGAGCAGGAGCAGGAGGAGCAGGAGGATGGCATGGGCGAGGAGCAGCCGCTACAGGAGGCATCGCATCTCTGGCGGGGGCGCCGGACACCTGCCGGGGCAGGGGCCCCCCTCCGCTGCAGCGGGGAAGGGTCCGCCACCGTGCACTCGTGCACGCAGTGCTCTGTGGCAGCTCATGGGAGCCTCCCTCGGGGAACGAACAGTGACATAGACATAAAAACTCGGAGGTCCGCGCGAATTTCTCGGATCCGCACTGGACCCCCCCGGCGGCTCCGCCGGCGCCGCCACTGGCGCGCTCCGCGCGCCAGGGAGGGGTCGAGCGCCAATCCGAGAAATCCACGCGGACCTCAGAGCTTTTATGTCTATTTCATTGTTCGTTCCCCTACTCACATCACATCTTGCTGGCACTGGCGACTCGCCGCTAATCGGCGCTCCATCGGCGCTGTCTCATCGCTTACTCGACGCTGGCGCGCTGCTAACGTGCACTCTAGGGACGGGTTTTCGAGGGCATCCAGAGCTCCCATGGGGTACTGCCAAGTGTGCATGCTGAGTGCTCGGGGATGCGGACAACACACGAGCGTCCAACCGTTCGCCGACCTACCAGCAACGATGACCCTCTGCCACGACGACCGCCGCCCGAGGCGCCGCCGCGAGGTGCCACGGTCACCGGTCCAGATCTCGCGGGGGAGCCCACGACACCAGCGGAGGCCCCGAAAGCGCGAGTGGGCACAGGCGCGAGGCTCTGGCCCCCCTCGGGGCCTCGACCCGTCCAAGGCGGCGGGCGGCGGGCGCGGGCCTCCTCGCCGACGCTCCAGCGCGCACCGCACAGGCCGAGGAGGCACCGCGTGCCCGGCCCACGCGACAAGCAAAGCAAGAACTGCGGCCGGGGGTTTGCTGGCTATCGCTCGGACGTCCATTCCCTGTGCTTTTTTTCGGTTTTGTGCGTGGTTTTTTCGTCAAATGATCAAGGATGCTCCTCGATGGTCCTCGCCGAGGAAAAATGCACACGTCCGAGCGATGCCAAGGCTGGGGGCGGATGGCGAGGCCCCTCCCGAGGCGCGGGGCCGCTTCGCGCGCAGCGGGGTAGCGCGCTCGTCCTCCTCCTTGTTCTCCTCCTCGCCGCGCGCGCCGATCCACATGAGCCGCGCACCTCCCCGAGCCGCTCGCCGCAACGACAGATGGGGAGGGGGAGGGGCATGGGGAGGGGGAGGAGGAGAAGGAGGAGGAGGATGAGGATGAGGATGAGGATGAGGATGAGGATGAGGATGATGATGATGATGATGATGATGATGATGATGAGGAGGAGGAGGAGAGGAGGAGGAGGAGGAGGAGGAGGAGGAGGATGAGAAGGAGGAGGAGGAGGAGGAGGAAGAGCGTGGATCTCCTGCCTGACCCACGCCGAAATCCAGAAGCGGCCTCGAAAAATCCAGAAAAACGGCCCGCAGAGAGGCAGGTCCGAAAAATTTTGCTTTTCCCATGGACCGCTCTCGCCTGCTCCTCCTCTCGTCCTAACCCTGGCCCCTCCCTCTCCCCATGCCCTTGCCCTCCTCCTCCTCCTCCTCCTCCTCCTCCTCCTCCTCCTCCTCCTTCTCCCAATAGTTTCGGCTCGAGAGCTTTGGGTGCGACAGCCAGCCTGTCGCGAGCTCTCCTCGGGCTGGGACCATCGCGCCTTCGGAGGAGGCGTGGCACAGGCGGGCGCGCCGCCAGCGCTCCAGCGCGCGCTCCCTTGTCCGCGCCTGGAAGGGGGCGCGGTCGCCGCTGCTGCAGGCGCGCCTCGTGGAGGCGGCCCGCCTGCTGGACGCTCACCACGGGTCCTCGGCTGGCAGCATGGCTGTGGGCGCTGGGCGTCGCGGTGGCGGTGGCGCAGGGCGGCAGCCTGGGTGGCAGTGCCCGTGCCAGGGATGTGGCTACTACAACTTCGGGGAGCGGGACACGTGCCGTGTGCTGGGGTGCAAAGGCAAGCGACCCCCCACGAGGCGGCCCGCGGAGCTGGGGGACTTCGTGGTGCGGCCGCGCCCACGCGCTCCTCGTGGACCTGGGGCAGGCGAGGGTGGGCAGCGCGCGGGCGGTGGTGGAGCGCCCAAGCGAGCCCCCTGGTGGCCTGACGACCGTGCTGGTGCTGGTGGGGGTGGCACCGCAGCAGCTGGTGGTGGTGCAGGTGCAGGAGGTGAGGGCACTGGCATCAACGAGGAGCTGTGGCACAAGCTGGTGCAGTTGCCTGAAGACGCCTTCAAGGTCAGCGCCCAGCTGCTGGACGCCAAGACCAAGCGCGGGATTCTCCAAGCCAGGAGGTTGGCACAGGAGGGGCTGGGCGACCTCTCCAAGGTCAAGGAGGTCAAGGCGGCGCAGCTGCGGGCCGACGAGAAGTCCGTGCAGGTCACGAAGGCGGAGGGCCAGCTGGAGCAGGCCAAGGCGCGGGCTCATCGCGCTGTCGCTGAGATGGCGGAGCTGGGGGAAAAGCTGGTGCAGCTGCGGCGCGAGCTGGAGGAGGCCACGGTGCAGGCCAAGGCGGCCGTGGCAGCCCAAGCCGCGAAGCAGTCCGAGGCGGAGACGGCGAAGCCGAAGGCGCCAGCTGCGGCGGCCCCCACGGCCGTGTCGGCTGGGCTGCGGGCAGCGATTGCCGCGGAGCTCGCCAGCCACGCGGCAGAGGCGCCTGAGCTGGTGGTCAAGCTTGGCGGGGCGCTGGGCGAGATTCTGGACAGCCACGCCAGCCAGGCGGCACCTGAGGCGGCTGCTGCTGGGCTTCCGCGGCAGCAGGAGGACGTGGGTGCTGGTGGTGCGGCTCATGCCCCTGCAGCTGCGGCCGCTAGCGTGGCGCCCGCTCCTGCAGCCGCGGCGGGCGAGCCAGCGGCAGGAGGAGCCAATGGGGCGACTGGGGTGGACCAGGCCTGGCGCGAGCTCGCCATGGAGATGGAGGACCCCGAGAAGCGGAAGTTCGCCGAGGTGCTCAGGGAGGAGCAGGCGGGGTCGGAGGCCAAGCGGCTCCGCACAGCGGCTGAGGCTGGTGCGCAAGACTCCTAGCAGGCAGGGTGCCTGCTGGCGGTTCTGCACGGTCAACGTGAACGCGTTCTGCAACCTGGATGCGTGCCTGGCGGTGCAGGAGGTCAAGGAGTGCGACGCGGTCCTCGTCCAGGAGACCAGGCTGCTGGAGGGAAGGACCAGCGATGTGGAGGCTCAGCTTCGAGCCCAGGGATGGCGGGCGCGCGGCACGCCAGCCGTCCCGTCGTCGGCAGGAGGGCTCAGCTCTGGAGGACTGATCTCCATGGTTCGGACCGCCTATGGGATGGCGGAGGTGGACGACCCGATGGGTGCCGTGGTCGTCCCAGGCAGAGTTCACGTCTGCTGGGTCGCAGGGGTGAGGAGAGGCGGTGTGCTTCTCGGCAACGTCTACCTCGAGGCGGGGGTCGGCCTGAACGCGAGTAACGTGCAGGCGCTCACGCTGCTGGCGAGGAGGCTCAAGCAGTACCAGAAGGAGTACCTGGTTGGTGGTGATTTTAACCTCACGGAGGAGGAGCTGAGGGACGGAGGTATGCTCGCCATGTTTGATGCGGTGGTGGTTCGTCCTTCGACTCCTACGTGCGCATCGTCGGGGAGGGTCATCGACTTCTTCCTGGTGTCCAAGGGCTTGAGGGCGTGCGAGGTCAGCGTGGTGCCTGCGTCGCCCGTCTACCCGCACTCCCCTGTCCTTGTCAAGGTCGGCGCGACGGGGCCCCGTGCGCCCTTCCGCGTGGCGCAGGCGCCGAAGCCCTTCCCTGTCCTGAGGCCCTTGGGGTGCTGCGAGTACGACCACGTGGGCAGATGGAAGCGGAGTCGGCAGGAGATGAGGAGGCTCCTCAGGCCGATGGTGGACTTCGTGGACGAGGAGGTTGAGGCAGGCGCGGGCTGCAGCCTGGGGGGCCCAGTCCCGTTGGGAGCGGGCCCCCAAGGCACATGCACTGGGTCTGCCAGTTGGCCGCAGCCTGGGATAAATTGCGGCAGCCATCCTGGAGTGGAAGAGGTGGACGCGCGGGATGCGCAGTCCCACCCGGAGCCCCAGCCACAGGTCCGACCGGCGGGGCTTGCTGGAGGGAGCGCGGCAGGCTGCTGCGAGGAGGCTGGTGCTGGTGAGGTGGCTGCTGGTGCTGATGCCGCCTTGGGGCTGGGCCGCCTCGCAGGCTGCCGCAGTGTGCTCGCGCCGCCCCCTGCGCTGGCCACCGCGGCTTCGGCGGTCAGCCTTGGCCAGCTTTGCGGGCAGCTGGACGAGCAGTGGCAGGAGGCAGTGCGAGGATGCGGCTTGCTGCGGGAGCCTGAGGAAGCTGGGCCTCGTGGGGAGGCGAGGAGCACGCCTCGTCGGCGAGAGCCTGGGCCCAAGCAGCCACGAGAGGCACAGGCCCAAGAAAAAACAACCCCACGAGGGCTCTCGAGGGTTAAAACTGAGGGGCCACGCCTGGGGAGCACGCCTGAGGAGCACGGGAGCGGGAGGCGAGGAGCACGCCTGAGGACCAGACCAGAGGCGCGGCGGAGCCCGTGGAGAGGGCTGGAGGAGCCAGCCGACCGCCTCCTTGGCGGGAAGTGCGTGCCAGCAGGAGGAGGATGCGACGAGGAGAAGGTCAAGGAGGGCCTCAGCATGGCCCTGGGCGCCTTCCTCCAGTGCGCGGAGGAGGAGTGGATCGACGTGTACCAGCTGGGGGAGGAGCGCGACAGGTATTCTGGTAGAGCTGAAGGCTTCTCCACCAAGGTCGTCGTCAAGAGCGGGGTGCAGCAGGCGAGGTCGCCGAGGCTTACCCCTGAGGCGGCGTGGGTGGCCAGGGTGGCCAACGCGCTGCGCGCCGCCTCCAAGGTGGGCGCGCCACGCGCCAGGCAGGAGGCGCTCGGGTACTTGCCTGCGCTCGCGGCTCGCGTGCCGCAGCGGGTTCGGACGCTGCAGGAGGAGGATGAGGTTGAGGAGGCTGAGGGCAGTGTGGCCAGCTGCGGTGCAGTGGCAGGCAGATGGCACGGCTTCCTGCTGTACGGCGCGGTGGCGCTGTGGGACCCGTTCGCGCTGGCACACATGGCTGACCTCGCCAAGCGGCATGCCAGCGAGCTAGCCCAACGAGATCTTGCCGAGCGAGGCAAGCGCTTTGACGAGTGGGTGGGTAAGCAGCTCAAGGGAGGAGCAGCAGGGCTGCACGCCGTCACTCGGGTGCCAGTAGGATGGCAGAGCAGCACTTGCAGTGGCAGCTCGGGCCCCGCAGGCCTCGGCAAGGAGATCGAACTCCTCGAGGCCGAGTGGGGCAAGCACTGGAGGATCGAGTGCGACCACGCCGAGCTGCAGTGGCCCTCAGATCTGGGCGAACGGCCTCCGCGGCCGTCCGTGGAGGACCTGCGCCGCTGCCTCCGCTCCTTCAAGAAGGACACGGCCTCGGGCTTCGAGGCCATCAAGCCCAGGCAGCTCCTCGAGCTCAGCAGCGAGGGGCTAGAGGCTCTGATCGACCTGCTGATGGCCGTGGAGCAGATGGCGGAGTGGCCGCAGCTGCACACCAAGATCGTGTTCTTGGCTAAGCGGCTCGGGGGCGTTCGCCCTGTGGCCATCATCCACGTGGTGGCCAGGGTCCAGGCGAGGCTGCGCAAGCCGCTGGCGGACGCCTGGGAGCGCAGGAACGACCGCCCCTACTTCTGGGCGTCCAGAGGCAAGGGCTGCGAGAGGGCGGTGTGGCAGCAGGCGGTAGAGTGCGAGTGGGCCTCGGCGAAGGGGCGTGAGGCTGGTGACGCCTCTAGCTGGGTGTCAGCGCTGGTGCTGCTCGACCTGCTCAAGGCGTACGAGCAGGTGCAGCACGGGCGCCTCATCCAGGCGGCGGTGCGAACGGGCTTCCCGCTGTGGCAGCTCAAGCTGCAGGTCAGCCTCTACAGATCTCCGAGGTGGCTTGCGCTGGGAGAGGCCTTGAGCAACCCCATCGCCACCAAGCAGGCGGTGCTGCCAGGCGACGGCTTCGCCACGCTCATGCTCAAGATGATGCTGATCGAGCCCCTCGACAAGCTGCAAGCGCTGGTGCCCACCGTCTCCCTGTCGGTGGTGGTGGACGATCTCATCCTGAAGCGTGTCGGAGGCCTGCGGCGCACGGTGGATGAGGTGGCGACGGCGACACGGCGCCTCAAGGAGCTCCTGGGGAAGGCCGACCTTCGCATCGCCAC